TTTTGTTTGGTTGTTGTTTTGGTTTCTTTTTTTCCCAAATTTGGACAAAGACTTCCGTGTGGCGGAAAGGCTAGTTGCTTGTCTGAGAGCCTGAGGTTAGGGTCATTTATATCTTGTGACGTGCAGAGGTGGCACTGATAATTTCAGAATGTTAAGAAACTACTGAAAAACAAAACCAGTCTGAAAGTGGCATCTTCCCAAAGCGTCTTCTACCTTAGGAGCGTTGAGAGCTAACTGTAAGTTCTTCCTCTCCCTGTTTTTCCTGGAAGTATCTGTCGGCCATCCGCACTCCCTCCCTCCCTGCCTGCAGGCTGCATCCCCGTTTCATGGTCCCGGGTGCCTCGCAGAGGTCGCGGCAGCTTTCCCCGTGTCCCTGCCTCTGACCCGTGTCAGGGGACGTCCAGGCACGCCAGACGGCGGGTGCAGCCGTGGGGTTGGGCTGGGCTTGGCGTGTGTCCCGGGCGCACTGCCCGAGCCGCGGGCCTGTCGGGCGGGCAGAGCGAGCAAGGGTGGAGAGGCTGGGCGGTTTCCCGGCCGTTACTGGAGGGAGTGGACATCATGTCCTGGAGAGAGGAGATCTGCGAACACTTCCTACATTTGAATGAAGGAAGAAGAGTTGACAGATGTATGAATCTTAATAGTCGAGTTGCAAAACTCATTTTTTCTCCGAATGTCTTCTCAAATTGTTCTCCCTTGATGTTTGGGATGTCAGACTTAGGCTGGGTGTGATGAAATTCAGTCCAGGATACATTAGATCGCTATTGTAAAGTCAGAGCCAGTAGCAGTTACTTTTCAAAATTTATAGAAACAAGTTAAATTAAAAAAAAAAAAACCAACCCAATATAATGCTTAGTTTTAGAAAGAGCAAAGATGAGATAATTCATAGCAGCCTAGCTTCTATTGCCAGTAACATGTTGAAATACATTAAATATTACAAATTAAAATTTAAATATTGCATATTTTATGTAATATTATATTTTATATAGTGTATTGTGATTATATTCAATGATATATAATATGAAGTATTACATATTTAATATTACACATTAAATATTAGAATTCACGATAATATTTACAAGCATCTGTGCATTGATTCAACAGAGTAATATTTTTCCAAAAAGGTGGGGAGAACCAGGACTATGGTGAGATGTGAATGCAGATGAGAAACACTTAAGCTCTAGTGTTTCATCCATCCTATTGAACTAAAGTGGTGTATTATTTTTGGACATCAGACTTCAGAATAAAGTGAATTTACTTAGGAGAGACTAGAGGAAAGCAAAAAGTGTAATCTGAATTAGGGAAATGCAGTTTTGCGATTCTTGAAGTGAGATTAAAGAACTGAGAACAGAGAAAAGAAAATGAGTAAGATGCATGGTAAGCAGATAAATGAAGGGTAGTTGTGAAGAAAAGGGAGCTACGCTGTTCAGCGAGAGCATTATCAGCATGGCAAGGAGGGAGATTCGGTTTGAGGTTAAAACATCTCGATATAGGTGTTTGAGTTTCTGTTATGGTAAATGGAGATGCAGTGGATGCAGAGTGCACTGATTTGGTTGGATCAGATCGTGCTTCCAAAGCAAATCTCCAGAGTGTGTGAATCTGATCCCTCCTGGGTGAAACTGGGTGTTTGGTCTGTGGGACCAGGCTAATTCTAGTCTGAAGTAACAACCACAAAACGTGGGTTGTGTAGTGTTGGGTTCTCAGCAGCAACTGCTTTGCTCCACAAATCCTCTCATATTGGGCTTACAAAGTAGTCATAGCTACAGTCAGTGGAGTCCAGAAATAGCAGATATGGGCTGGCTTTGGGGCAAATTGAACTGCTTTCCAGTGTCCTTCCCTGTATTTGCCTAGAGAAGCTGTGGCTGCCCCCTCCCTGGAAGTGTTCAAGGCCAGGTTGGATGGAGCTCTGAGCAACCTGGTCTAGTGGAAGATGTCCCTGCCCATGGAAGGGGGGATGGAACTCGATGATCTTTGAGGTCCCTTCCAACCGAAACCATTCTATGATTCTGTTCTATGATTGGCTGTATTTCTGTTGAGTATAACAGAAGTTTAAGGCATTTAGTGTTCATTCAGACATGTAAATTTGCGTGCCTTAATCAGAAACTGAGTCTCGTCCAAAGAGCAATATGATCAACTTGCAAAGAGCTAAAAATTAGGATAATAAAATTGGGATAAAAATTATCAAAGGCTTTTCCATCTGTCAGGTTAGCTAGGCACCACCTTAGGTTGGCTAGTGAGGCTGTAGGACCTCCATTGCTCTTTTTTAAGAGCAGATTAAACAGTTGTCAGGAAGCGCTTCATGTAGTTCATCTTGCCCCAGAGCTAGGATATGGACTAGTAGAGTAGATAACCGTGGATAGTCTCTTCAGCCTGCTCTCTAAGTGTGGAAGATCTTCACTGGTCCATCGTCTTCAACACCAGGCTGACTCACAGGAGGTGCAAGGTCCCAGCATGGCATACGTGAAAGCCCCCATTCCCAGGACTTTCTGTTTCATGGTGTGGCAAATATGGACACATACCTTCTTGCTTACTCAGTCTGCATCTTTACCGTGTAAAACTAAGCCGTGTGTTCAAAGTCTGTCCTTCAGTCACTTCCTGACTGTACATGAACATGGATTTGGGCAAGAGCAGCCTTGCACTCCCTGTACACGGCAGGCACTCCCTTTTTTTCTCCTGCCCTCTCGCCTGCTCCTGCTGCTTTCCTGTAGTATTTCATTCCATTTCTATTACTTCAGGCCTCAGGTTTTCCACCTCATTTTCTGTAATCGTCCAGTTGTCTTCTGACAGTGCCTTCTTAGCGCTGTGTCATCGACAGATGTCATCAGTAGATGTCTGCTTTTTGTGCCAAGGCTATGATCCGCACCAAATGACGGGCAGGGCTTTCCTAATCTTACTAAGCTGTTTAATAGAAGGCAGCTCTAGGATATTAAAAAAAAGAGAAGTTCAGAACTCAACACCTGTTGGATATGCGACTTTTTACTTTTTCTGCAAGAAAATTTAATGGAAAAGTGCTTTTCCACTTTCTAAAATTTTTGGATCCTTCAAAAATTTTTGGTAAAAATGCAGGATTTCTTTATGTATTTGTTCCACATGAATTTATGCATCTTGTAAATAAAATTACCATTCTTAAACACCTTTTGTAGATATCTTAGAAGTCCCTTTAGACATTTCCTGTGGACTATAGATTGAAAAGTACAAAAGCAGAAGTATTTTTTACTGTCTTAGCAATAAAACAGAATATTTTGAGGCTGTTTTGCTACTAAGCAAACATACTGATTTCTACTTTTAGTTATCTTAATGAGAGACTTTCTGTTTATAATGATTGAGGAGATTTTCTCTGCTTTCTTGATATGCATCTCAGTGGAAGACTTGCTTATTCTTGAACTTCAGACACTTTTGTTTATACTGTGGTACTCAGGTTTCCAATACAAGGAAACTCCTCACCTTGTGCCTCTTGTCTCCATTCAGTATTCAGACAGAAACACTTTCTCCTTTGGTTTACCGGTAAGAACAAACAAGGATGTTCATGATGGCATCCTGACAACTGTTCACCTCCCAAAAGAATCGCAGCTTCTGTTGGAAAACCTCGACTATAAACCAGAATTCTCCTGTCAGTCATGCTGGTACAATCTCATTAATCATAAAAATAAATTTTAAAAATGCGTGAACTAGTGAAAATCCATAACTAATAAAACAAATAAGATTAAGAATATTTGTGAAAACAACTTGGTCTAAAGGGTAGGATCCTGTAGCCCTCACGATGCATATCCGTTAGGGAACTTAGTGCTTGCTGATGTTTTGTCCTCAGAATATATACGTTGGGAAAATTGCCATAAAAACAGTTCTGTTGTGCAAGTCGAAACAGCAGGCTGCTACATTGCTCAATACCATCCATTGCGTTGTTGCATTGTATGGGAAAGAGATAACATCTTTTTAAAAAAAAAAAAAAGCTGTCATCAATGCAGCAATCAAGGCTGAGTCAGAGGGATGAACAGGGAGAGCCCAGTCAAAGTCTAGAAACCTGTCAAAGAGAATATAAAGAAATACTCCCTGAGTCATTTCAGTAAACACCACCTAAGATACAAAATGTCAGTAGGTGTAATACTTCTGAGAACAATAAAAGTATTCTCTTCTCTGCCTATTCAAAGCTCAAAAGCTCTCTTTGTTGGTTTCACATGTTGTAATAACCTACTTTTTGCTGTTGCTGTTTCCCAATGCCTACATTTTTGCACTGTTTGAGGGTTTTTGTTGCTTGCGGAGTCTTTGGTGACCACCTAAGATACAAAATGTCAGTAGGTGTAATACTTCTGAGAACAATAAAAGTATTCTCTTCTCTGCCTATTCAAAGCTCAAAAGCTCTCTTTGTTGGTTTCACATGTTGTAATAACCTACTTTTTGCTGTTGCTGTTTCCCAATGCCTACATTTTTGCACTGTTTGAGGGTTTTTGTTGCTTGCGGAGTCTTTGGTGCTGCAGAGTGGACGTGAACACAGGGTCTCTGATAATTCGGTTGAAGTTCCAGTTCCTTCCAGCTAGGACGAGGCACCTAACTGAGGTGTTTAAGGGCACACATAGCTATCCTGGTGCCTGAAGAAATGGACAGTCCCAAGGCTGCGAGGGGACCTAATAAATGTTTATAAATATCTCAAGGGTGGGTGTCAGGAGGATGGGGCCAGACTCTTTGCAGTGGTGCCCAGCAACAGGACAAGGGGCAACGGGCACAAACTGAAGCACAGGAAGTTCCGTCTGAACACGAGGAAGAACTTCTTCCCTCTGAGGGTGACGGAGCCCTGGAACAGGCTGCCCAGGGAGGTTGTGGAGTCTCCTTCTCTGGAGACATTCAGGACCTGCCTGGACGCAGTCCTGTGCAGCCTGCTGTAGGTGACCCTGCTTCGGAGTGAGGGTTGGACTAGATGACCCACATAGGTCCCTTCCAACCCCTACCATTCTGTGACTCTGTGTTTCTGTGAGGTTTTGTGCAGGCAAGCATGATCTGCTACCAGCATGCACGTGTGTCTTGTTCAAGTAAGTGGTGTATGTTTGCCATTTATCCTCCCAGCACGGCACAAAGTAGAGAGCTGCTTCTGTGGTTGCACTTCAGCAAGTGTTTTGATTAGTCTGTGCGTTTAGATGTTATTTAGCCTGTTTTGTTCTCTGGTGTGGCTGGTAACCCACCACAGCGTGTGTAATCCATGATTTGCCCAGAAGAGGGAGTTTCTCCAGGGTGCTGCTGGCAACCAATGCCTAACCTCAGTCAAGGGCAAATTCCCATCCTTTTGGAATACTGAAGCATTATTCAGCACTAAAAAATGGTTGTTTAAAAATTACTATAAAGTCTGTATTTGGAGGGGGGGGGCAAGATTAATTGCTTATTATCTGTTTCCTGATGAGAGAGAAGTGCAAAACTTAAGAACTATATAATTGCAGTGTATGTTTTTAATGTGAATGGTTCTGGGTAAATTTTTCAGAAGCTGTTATGGGCAAATAGTAAATAGTAATTGATAGAGGTCAAATGCCCTCTTCCTTTGCTGTTCTTATGGGGGAGGTTATGTCAGTTAAGTTTTAGTACTGTGAAAGTGGCATAGAGTTAATAATGATTATCATAACTTCCATTGCAGATCTGCTTGAATTATGGAAATGGACTCCATGTGAAGGTAGGAAATAATGGAAAACTGCTTTTCTTGATCAGTGTCTGAAGAAAGGTTCTCTGAGCAAAGAGAAAGCATCAAAGGCGTGCGTTACCTCAGTTGATAAATGTCTTGTTTTACCGTTTTCTGAAACATGAAAGCTGATCATTGCATAATGCAATGAAAGATGAAATGTAAGTGAATAGATTCCTACATCCATCGCACTGAGTGGCGTTCAACTTTGAGGAGCTTCCTTTAAATTATTGAGCTTGTATATGCCTTTTTTTAACTCTCTGTAAATGAAATCAACTACTATTTTGTGGAAGATGTTCATTGTGGAAACATTTCTAGATGTTAATCTGGAAGCCAGTAGATATGGTAGGGACTAAACTGGGCAGAAGAACAAAGGGTCTCATTCAGAGTGGGAGTGAAGGGTAATTGAGCACGGATAGCAGAGACGGTGGACGGGTTTAATAAGGCCTCCTGATTCACGTATCCTGTTTCAGAGATAAGGTTGAGTACGAGGCAGTGTTGGGATGGCTAACAGGGTAATAAGGCAAAGGTGGTAGTTTAAAACGGTCTTAGTGCCAAATCTTTTCCCACATCTGATGACAAGCTCTCAGATCTTCCAGAACAGGTATATTTTTACCAACCCTTGCTCGTGGGATCTTGTTCATGTGTTTAAAGCCTGTCTTACCTCATTCTGTCTTGATGAAAAGACTAGTGTATTTTTCCTCTTCAAACACTTGAGGAGCATATAGCTCTGAGATTGTGGCTCAGAAGGCTAATGCTGCTCCGTGATTTAGAAGTTGCTAGCTACTAAAAGAGCAAAAGCTATTCAGAAGTCTGGGCTACAGCAGCAATACAGCATGCATCTGAAACAGCTAAATGTAATGCTGACATTCAACCTTGTTTGTTCACAGGTTTATAATCGAAATGGCAGGAGCGGTGTGTTATCTCATGCCAACAGCCTGGTCAGACAGAAGCGAGAATGGACAGTCCCTCCAGCTTTCATACGGGAAGAGGAGGACAATTCCTATAAAAATCCAATCGCTAGAGTAAGCCCAACAAAGAGATAAATACAGAATACACATAAAAACAGAGATGAAGATGTAAAATAAGGGTGTGTCTGCCCTAAACAACTGCCCAAATATTTCTTTAATTTTAAAGGACTGTTGAATGTCAGTTGAAGATTGGCACATTTCCTTCTGTTTCCTTTCTTCAGCAGATGAGTTGCTCTTGCAGCCTGATTTGGCTCAGTCTCGCATCCTTTCCCTCAGTTTTCATAAAAAATTTGGGAATGCAGGATCTTTCAAGTTTTTTTGCTACAACACCCCTATGCAGCTGTGCTTGAACTTGGCAAGTGGGTCCCAGAACTGCTGGTGGTGACTGGGCAGAAGGGTGTACGTTGAACATGATTGCGCATGCCTACTTTTTTAGGAAACAGAGCTAAAAATAACTGAGGTGTCATCTTTTGTGCAATAGTGATATGCACTTGGTTCAGCATAAGTTTTGAAACCTGAATTCAGCACACCTGTCACTTCAGCATATGAAGTATCTGCAGATGGCAGCAGGCTGTTACCCTCTGCTTGGACTGCCCCTTGGTGGTGGTGCTGTCACAATGCACACGTGCTTTTCCAGATGTTTTGGATATTAGCTGACAGAAGAGGAGGGGTATAATCCCTAGTCTATGCAGCCTCTTCTACCTGTTCCTCTCCAGGTCTGATCTTTCTGCCACTGCCCTGTTACTTCCTCAGTCCTGGTCACGCTCGCTAGCTTAGGTCTAATCTCCCTTAAAACGTTGTTGTATTTTGTTTCCAGGCTTTGCCCAAGTAACTTCAATCTCCCCTGCTCAGCCAATTGTTCCAGACTCTCTCTTGTTTTTTTCCTTGGTCTTTCTCCGCATTTTATGTGCCTCCATCCATTTGATCAGCCAGTTTCCTTCTTCCCTCGCTCCAGCTTTTCACCTTATCACAGTGGTTTTCCAGCCTTTTCTTGCACTTGTATCCTATCCAGCTGCCTTTGTCCAAGCAGTCCTGATTTTCTCACAGTCCTCTCCTCTTCATGATTCCCAGCTGTTGCACTGCCTGTTGTGTTCCTTATCTCCCTGCTCGAGATCCTCAGACAGAACATGTAACTCTTCCCGCATTCATCTCAACATCTCCACGCTCAAAGGAGTGCAGGAAAAACATGCGTTTAATATTTTATGTTTGTTCATTACAAAAACAGCAAAAATATTTTATTTGCGCTCTTAAATGTGGTTTTATTTACCAAATGCTATTTAATCTGTTATATTCCTGCTAGATACATTCTGATCTTGAAGATACAGGGATAGTGGTGACTTACACTATATCTGGTCAAGGAGTAACAGAACCCCCTTATGGATTATTTGTTATCAATGGAAAGACTGGAGACCTGAACGTAACAGGAAGGGTTGACAGAGAAAAGACACCAATGCTGTTTGTAAGTTGAATAGTGACTTTTTCCTTATAGGTGCCCACCTATCCATTTTTTATTTATTTTGTTCAGATTTGTTTGCTTGAATTAGTTTTAATGTTTCTGGATACTTCTATGTGTATGCATGTTTATAAGCATATTTTATATACTTACATAATGCTTACATTTGGTTATATACATTATATGTTTCTAGTCTGCATATGTATATATATACTACAGTCACTCGTATTTGCTTATTGTTTCTGTCTCTGTTATTTCAGCTCAGAGGTCATGCGCTAGATAAGACTGGAGCAAAACTGGAAGAGCCAATAGACCTCCCAATTAAAATTCTGGACATAAATGACAATCCTCCAGTGTTTACACATGAAGTTTTTGTTGGTTCAATTGAAGAATTAAGTGAAACAGGTAACATGATTTGTAGGATTTTTTTTTTCTTTCATTTAGCTTTTCCCAACACATGCAGGGGTGCAAGTGAATATACTCTTTGCAGCAACTTATGTGCTGTAACAAGGCCAGGTTATCCATGTGTGAATGCAGGTTTTTATTCAGGACTAAACTGTGTGGTGTGATGACGTGAATGCGTCCACAGAAAGGCCACAGAGAACAACACTTCCTCTTGTGGCATCTTTGATTTGGTGTCAAAGCTACCACCAGTCTATGGACTGGCCAAGCAATCCCGACCTGTCGGGGAGGGGGGAGACTCCGCTCTGCCGTGCTCATGAAAATCTCTGCTTTATGAGCTGGAGAGGTGCTTCACTGTTAAGCACGTATGGCTGTGGCCTAAACCTCGCAGAACAAGTTAGTGGCAGTTTTCCTACTGATGTCAGTAAACATAAGAGCAACAAATTATTTCACAGAAGGTAAGAAAAGCTGGAGGAAAACAACCTAATAAATACCTGACGTTGTTTCCCTTTCAATGTCACGATAATCTGAAGAAACAAATTATTGACCATCCGCGTGGGTGAGGTATTGAGTTCCCTGAGCTCTCTTTCAAGTCAGGAGCAGCCCTGTGGTAATTGCTTCTTTGCCTGAATTCCAGCCAGTGTTCAAACTCAGGCACTGGACGCTGGGGTACACCCTTTCCCAGAGGACAAAAGCCGATGCTGTGAGGTGTAAGGGCGTTGCACCATGGGGACTGCCATGTATTTTGAGCGAAGCTGTTGGAGGTCATCAGTACAGAGCAATTGTTTTAATAACTTTCAGGTAGAGGAGTTAGTAGCGCTCCCTTTAGAATAATGTGTCAGGGAAATACAGCTTGTTGTTCAAAACCTTGTTCTTTCTTCTGTGTATGATATCTACAGTTTTCTGTCAGAATTTTTGAGAGAATTCAACCTGTTCTGTCATTCTGGTGCATTGAATTCTAGAAGTTACCGATGTGTGGATACAATCTTGTTGTTTGCTAGAGGATATGCTGTTAACATGTACTATTTAGATTTTAGGAACACTTCTCCAGCTCTATTCATTAAATAAATAAAGTCAGGAGCACCAGAAAATTGTGCAGTGCATCTGACTGCAGTCTCTTGATCTGTGACATTACAGTAAAAATACTTGGCAGTTCATGGCAGTGTAAACATACTATATTTTGTTTGCCTTTTCCAGGTACCATTGTAATGAGGGTAAATGCAACAGATGCAGATGAACCAAACAACCTAAATTCCAAAATTGCTTTCAAAATCATTTCCCAAAGCCCTAGTGCTGCATTCGATATGAACAAGGATACTGGCGAGGTTCGAGTAGCAAAAATAAACCTTGACAGAGAGGTAAAAAAAACCCTCCCATTCTTAATCTGTTAATAGGAGTCTTCTGATGCCTGTTGTATTACCTTCAGCCATGCTTGCTGGGCTTACCTTCCTTCGCCTCCCTCACTGTTACAGCCTTGTCTGGCTGACGCCTGTTTTCCAGGGACTAGGGCGTGGAGGTGGTGGTGGGGTCGAGGTTGTATTCCCCCTGTCACCTCCCTGGCGCAGCACCAGCCCGATGGCTGTTGCTTTCTGTCCCTCCTGTGCAGCCAAGGCAGCAGCTGCATGAAGCAAGGGTTCATTTCTTTGTGCTGGAGATCATATGGCAAAGACAACCTAGGTCACCATCTGCAAAGCTGCTGATTGCATCTAGATTTTGGTAGCCTGCTGTGAAAATCGAGGTGCAGAGAGTTAGGATGGATGCTGCTGTGAAACAGCATTGAAAGCCCCATATTACCAGCAACTTTACCTGTGCTTGCATGAATTTTCGCTGGCCAGCAAATGGTGGTCTGGATGTTAGCTCTGCGGCTGAGGGCAACACCTCTGCCTCTAGCCCCATCCAGACTTGCAGACAGGTGTCATGGCTTCTGTCCCCGTTTATGGCCACTGAAACTTTTTTATTTGCCATGTATATACAGTCTGACTCTGGGGGGGAGATGCAAAAGCCCTAAACCCTTTTCAGAGCCTCAGTTTTACTCCAGCAGAGCCTGTCAAGGTAGTTGTGCATGAGATTTTGCTACTAGCCAGAGAGACGTAGTAGTTGGCCATGAGACCGACTACCAAAATCTAGGAAAGATAATACAGGGAAGGAGGAATTTCTGGCCTGGTTTAAATACTTTTTTCTTATTGTGGCAGACACAAAGTAGCTATTCTTTGGTGGTGGAAGGAAAAGACCGTGGTGGTGAATTAGGTGGGAATGCTGCAACATGTTCTTTAGAAATCACGATTTTGGATGTCAATGACAATCCGCCTGTGGTTGAAAGTCGTTCAGTAAGTACCTTTGTCACAATATTTGGCATGTTCCTACACCTACCAGTATCCCATTGCTTAACATGAGGTTGTGCAAACCTTCTTGCATTGGTGAAAAGAGGTAAATCATGACATCTTTTTAAAGAAGGGTGTTTCTCATTTGCAGTTTGAAGGAAGCATTGAAGAAAACAGAGCAAATGTGGAAATTATGAGAATAAAAGTATTTGACAAAGATGAAGAGTTTTCTGATAACTGGCTGGCAAACTTTACATTTGTTTCTGGTAATGAAGGTGGCTTTTTTCGTATAGTAACAGATAGACAAACAAATGAAGGAATTTTGACTCTTGTGAAGGTTAGTATATTCTTTAGAGAGTCTTCTTTAGATGTTAGAATAATTTGTTCCTTTTAAGTTGACATACAAATTATTTGTAGTCGGTATATAAACTGTAAATTTACATAGTGGACACTCCTCCTTTGGCATATTCGTTGTTGGTGTATTCAGTAATTTTGTGCAAAATAATAATTTTATCCAGGTTTACCATTTGCAATCTGTGTGATCTCAGATATATCTAGTGGGACAGAAGTCCCCAGCCTTTCCCTGTCATTGGGCAGCAGTGCTAACACATGTGCTGTAGACTTTCCCATATTTTTGCTCTCCTTGCTGGCCTTACTTTAGATTTCTTTATTTCCCGTGACCACAGATAACACTGCAAGCAACACCTACTCCATGAACCATGGGCTACAAACTGTTTAATGAATTTCCATAAATTGAAGTTATGAAAATGTTTTCCATAAATGGAAATTTCTGTTTTATGAATTTCACTACCCTTTAGTCCACAAGAACTGAAGATGCATAGTGCCCCAAGTACCTTTTTTCTTTTCTTTTTTTTTTTTTCCTCTGATTTCCTTATCTGAAAGCTAATACTTGCAAAAAATCAGTAAGTGTTATTCAGAAAATGAATTGGTTTAAAAAAAGAAAAAATTGGAAGAGCCAAGTAATGTTGAGCACTGATTCACTGAAAGTAAAGACAGAATATGTGGGTAGGACTCATTGCACCAACCTTATAGTTTAAATTCAATAATACAAAGACATACCTATGATGTCGTCCATTAAAAATAAGAAGAGTAATCTTCCTTCTGTAGTTTTAAAGAGTTAAAACATTATGTATTGTGAGTAACATGTTAACCAACAGTTCTTTGCACTGAAGCATTTTTATTATTTGAATAATATTTAAAGGATAGAATATCTATAATTTAAACAATATTTAAATAAATGAACCTTATTATTTAAATAGTGATGCTATAGTATTATTTAAGTAGTATTATTTAAATATTAAATGTGTGAATGTTGTCTATATACCAGATTCTTTCAAGTTCTGAGTGTTTTGGTTTTTGTTTCTTTTTTTTTTAATTGCTCTAGGCACTAGATTATGAAAAAACCCAAATCCAGAACTTGGGCATTGTTGTTACAAACAAAGCAGAATTCCACAAGTCAATTAAACAGAGTTATAAAGTACAAACAATCCCAATCAAAATTAATGTGATTAATGTGCGGGAAGGTGTTGTATTCCCTGGTGGCACAAAAATTATTCAAGCAAGTGAAAAACTGGAGATAAGGCAGGTTATTGGACAGTATCAAGCCTATGATGAAGACACTGGAAAACCAGCACAGAGCATTATGTAAGAATCTTTTCATAACCATCATAAATGAGTATGTCAGAAATCACATCTCGGTATAAAAATGTGTATATTGAACTGAAATAATTTCAGAGCCAATCCTTTTCTACTACGCGTAATTCACACCTAAAACAACGTCATCATTTATGCGGAGAATAGCTGACTTGAGAATCCTACTTGTTTGGTCATATATGGTGAGGGATGAGTGTTCACGCTGAAATTGCACGCTGTTTGTCATGCCTGCCTGCTTTTGAGAGTCAGTTTGCTTGTCTGACTTCATCGTCTGCAGAAACATTAGGACGAAATATACAGAAACACCTAGCAGTTGGACAGAAAGGGTGTAAAGTAGAGAAGTCTGCGTGTGCATGTGTGCGTGTTTAGATTTTGAAGCACAGCTCTGCAGCTCAAAGGTTGTTGAATCGCCACCGTGGCTTTACAAATGGTGCAGACCAGCAGAGGTGCATACCCAGCGGTGGACCCCTCTCTCCCACACCTGTAATACAGCATCTGCCGGGTGGCTGCTGCTCACCTTTTGCTGGGAGCAGGGACGGAGGGGAAGAGGACCACGACCGGCAGCACAGCTACCTCTCCTGCTCTGGTCGCGCTCCCTGAGTCTACTTTTTATAATGCCTCCACACTGCAATCCTGGCTCTGGAAGGAAAAGCAGGTTTCAGCACTCAGGGTAGGTTGATAATCTTAGGTTTATCATTGGAACCAATTCCAGTGGCAGGAGCGTCAGACCTCAGACCTAGGGATTTGGTCTCTGCTTTAAATGAAGAGTAAATATACCGTGAAGCTGCTTTTTCTGCTGCTGGTTGTTTTCCTCATTATAAATGTGTACATCTTTATGTGCAATTTTAATCAGATACGTGAAAGGAAGAGACACAGCAAACTGCATCACAATAGACTCAGTCACGGCTGAAATCCAACTTGCCAAAAAAATCGATTACGAATCATCTTATGTAGTAAATGGTACCTACACTATCACCATATTGGGTATAACTACTGGTAAGTGGAGAGGGTTTTGTTTTCACACTATTTGGTTTGTTTAGGGTTTAGTTCGCCTTTCTACAACTATAGTTGGTTTAACCTCCCTGTCTTTAACTGCCTAAAACTCAGGCGCCTAGTGCAGTTTCCCATGGGTTCAGTGTTTGGAGGAGACACAGGCCACGTACTGAAATAGGAGGAACCTTGGAGTGGGTTCCCGAAGTGCCCATTTCTCTTCCTTGGCTAGATGGAGGTGAACTTTTTGTAGAAGTTTTGCAAAGGCCAAGTCTGATAGGAACATCCCTTGTCACAGTAGAAATTGCCAGTATCTCCATATGCTGATCAGCAGAGTTCAGGGTCCTAAGTTTTCTTGAATGCTAAGCAAGAAAGACTCCCTGCGCTTCTTGTGTATCTAATTAGAATTCTCCTTTTATAACCTGCATGTTACTGTGTAACCATACACAGGAAATACTTTTTTTTTCAGTTAAAATAATTAAAGTTCACCTTCAGAAGAACTTTGTGAATATGTTTATTAACATTAGGAATGAAATACTGCTCCCATAAGTTGAAAGAGCTCTTGATGGAGCTTATCTCAGCAATGTCTGTGTTTTGGAAAATACTAAGATTTTTTATTTAAAGATGAGAATTTTGCATTTTTCAAATCAATTTAATTTTTCATATTTTAAAATCATAGATGTTCCTCAGAAAACGGCCACCGGCACCATCATTATTCAAGTTAAAGATGAGAATGATAACTGCCCAGTTATTGTGAACCCTGTGCGGACCATATGTGCAGATGCAAAATTAGTTGATGTTACAGCTCATGATTTGGATGGTTACCCAAACAGTGATCCTTTTAGCTTTACTGTCATTGATGAGCCAGAAGGGACAGCAAGAGATTGGATAATTGCATCCAGAAATGGTAAGAAAAAATATTTTTAATTACTTTCAGTTCTTTCGAGACCTAGTGTTTTTAATTCCAGTCAAACTGACAGTTTGGCTGATCCAGACCAAGAAAACCCGTACATACAGAGTCAGGCATGAAGACACAACACTCGCATTCTGCTCCCTCCTCTCTAATGGCTATAAAAGCACAGTCATGTCTTTTGGGGCCTGTTGCCTTCTGAGTTGGACTGTCTTTGCATGGCTTGATGAAAGACCGTCATATGTGACACCCAGGATTTCACAGGTGGTGCTGGGATCAAGCCATTCCCATCTTCCCGCAAAAAACATGCAGTGATGGAGGATGCTTTTCATTGAAACTGAGCTTGGAGATGTGGTTGTGTTACTGTCTGCAGTTGTTCTAACTTACAGAGAAAAATAAATCTGTCTGCACAGTGGGCCTTGAAAAGAAGAAATACAATGCAACCTGTCTAAGATTGTCTAGGGCGGTAGGAACAAAAATAAGTCAGCAATCATGAATAATTTTAATAAGTATTTCAAAATGAGGTGAGCATTTTCTTCTTACATTTCGGTTCATATAAGCCCAGGAAATGCTTGAAGAAAATGTTTCAGGTAGATTGAAGGCACCAGAAAACACTTTTTTCTTCTCAGGCTCATTATTCTGTCCTCCCTAATCCTACAGCATAATGCTGCAAAGCAATCAGCAGAGTCATCCTAATGTCCAGATTTAGGTCCAGGAAGGAATCTGCTTAGCTTTCCTCACCCTGCTTGCAGCCAGACTAGCAGTAATTGTAGGGATCACAGCTTTTCCAAACAGGGTGGTGTTCCCCAGCTGGGAACATCATCTGGTCATGTCTTGCCTAGTTGTGTCCTTGAGGTGGCACAGCCCCAGGAGCAGGTGGTGTGTTGGCTCCCCAGTCTCTGCCTGTGGCCTACAACAGATTAATGTCCTAAAGGCTGGAGCTGTTTATCTGTGAATTCAGCCTTTAACTATCTGGATGATGTGAGGTTTAGTACCGTATAGACCGTTGGGCTGTCTTCCAAGAGAAGTCTCTGCTGGTGCGAGACTCTTGCAGTTATCTGCGACTGCAAGTGAGCATGACTGCTTTGTTACCAGCATGAATTTCTTGATAAAAATAAGAGCACATACACTGTAGCAGCAGGTAATTAAACTTAATTCCATTGCATTGGCTGGACTTAACTGGAAGGGGGCTAGTTGGGAGGCTGTAAAGGTTTTATTTCCTGTAGTTTACAAGTGTCAACTTTCTCTTCACTAACTTCTTGTTTGTCTTTCCTTTAACGCCCCCCCTTTCTGCCTCAGGCACCAGCATACAGCTGGCACCACAAAACCTGAAGCTGGGCAGAACTGAAGTTCCCATCCTAATAGAGGATTTCCAGGGGTTCAGCTGTGCTGAGCGACAGTCTCTGCAACTGACTGTTTGTGAGTGTACAGATGACGGCGCGTGCAACGAGAAAATTACTGGCACTACGTCAGTGGGTCTGGGACCAGGAGCGGTTGTGCTAATCATCTTGGCATTTTTACTTTTGCTGCGTAAGTAGTTGTTTCATATTATCTCACAAGCACTGTAAATATGGTCTGCAAGGCATCAGGAAAGAAGCAGTCCGGCCCCCAGATTTTATCATCTTGATATATTCTGTGTAAACTCCTAGGCTGTGTGAAGTCATGGCAAATCCCCAGCTAATTTTGGTAACATCAGCATTTCACCCTCAAAGGATTTCAAGCTGCGCATTTTAAAATTAACACGTACAACTTTAATATTTGTTTATGGCACTGTAAATAGTAGGTGGGGAAGCAGTAAGAAATCCTTTTGGTGTTTCCCGCACCTCCCCACATGAACCCTGACTCTTTCCACTCAAACCACAGCGCTCTCTCCACTCTCTTCTCCCTCACTGCAGTCCCAAGTCTGGTGCCTTGTGCTGAGCAGCACATGATGTTGTTCTCTGGTAAAACAAAATAGGAGCTTGAAAATAAGAATGCTTGTAGTCAGGCTATGGCCAAGTGTACCGGTGCGCCATTTAAAATGGCAATACTTTATTGCTTGTGCTAGTAGCAATCTAGCTGTGGCAAAACGAAGTTCATGCCACATGAATACACTCTGCTTCTGAAACTGGGTTGCTTTGAGTTCCCCGGGCAACGCTCTAGAGGTGTCACAGGAGTGGTGTGGTGGAATTTACGTGATGCCATGTCGTTATCTAGGAGTAAAGGAACAGGAGGAGTTACAAATGCTGAGGTTGTACAGTGACATTTAAGGCTTGGTTTTGGTATATGAGATCTTTGATAGAAGTATAGCTATATACATGCGTGGTTCTCTGCAGGACTGAGGCCCTGGTGGGTTAATTGTCAGTTTACTCTCTAGGAAACCATCCTGGCATGTGTTTCTAGGAAATACCTTGAATATTTGGGAACGTGTCTTCAGTCTTTATCAGCCCTCATACTGATCACTTGCTCAGTAAAGATACCTTTCAGTACAAGAGCTGACCAGACTTCGGCACTGGCTGTTAGCATGCTTTGGCCCTGATCATCACATGACTAATGGCAAACTGCTGTTTCCCCGTAGTTATTCCACTGTTACTGCTGCTGTGTCCCTGCGGCTCGGGAGCGAAGGGATTTGCTACGATACCAGACTGCAGTGAAGCAATGTTGCGTCAGTGGAACAGCGAAGGGGCAGCTCCCGAGGAGAAGGCACGTATACCTAATAGTATTTCTCTTTGATTTCTGTCCAAGTGTTCGGTTTGGCACTTGACATCTCTTCCACATTATGGGCTGACGTTTCAGGGATGTACAGCAGATTTTAACCGCACATGAACATTAATTAAAATTAACCCTGTGAGGCTCAGTGAAGGATGCATGGAAGATGAATTCCACCAGAAGCTCTAGAAACACCAGACATTCTGTTTAAAACCCAAAGTAAAGGGAAAGCAAGCAAGAAAATGTTGATGGTATCTGAGCAGGAGATAGGAGTGTGGGAAAAGCATTGATGCTGTAAAGAGGGAAGCATTTGCATTTGCAAGCTTGGAATGTTCTTTGGGAGCAGGTAAAGCAGTAAAATAATGGGTTATAAAGCTTATCTTCTAGTTTAAAGTTTCAGGTTGCATTTTAAATGACTTCCCTGTGTATTTGCCTCCTTAAACAGAGTAAATCCTTAAAAAAAAAAAAGGGGGCAGGAAAAATGTGCAAATCTACAGAAGGAACAGTGAATGCCAAAAGAAGTTTGCTTTTTCTTGTTATGCTACAAAACCCAGTTTTCCAAAAAAGGGCATGACACTGGTATGCTTTTGCACAGTAACAAAGGAGCAGAAGTAAGGTAAAAGACTTTGATTTAGGTGTATCAAGTAACTTAGCAGGGAAGCCAAACTACTAGAGAAGAAGAAAGGGCGAGGCAGCACCATAGAGGCAGCGGGCAGTGCACACTCCCCCACGTGTGTGTGGGGAAAGCTCTGCAGTCTATCCTGGAACCGCTGAGCTCCCTAGAGTTTTGCAAGCCTTTTTTTGGTGGTGGTTTTTTTTTTTCCCCGCTTTCACTCCCAACCCTTTGAGTTTCGAGAAAACAATGGATCTATAGAAACATTTCCATGATCCTCCTTGGGAACGCAGTTGTGGAAGCTGCACCCTATTTCAGGAGGCCCTTTACGCTTTGCAGCAACATGTGTAAGTGCAAATTCAAACAAGTCATAAGACGGCACCCTCCCAGGTCCCACCCAGCCCCGCTGCTGGTTTGGTGAGTTCCATGTGCTAGCCAGCGCAGCTTTCATGTCGCATCCTCATTTGTGTTATTTATGTAGCCAGTGCTAAGCCTCATCCCACCCACTGCGCTGGAGCACACGAGAGGAGCGACCGTCGGAGCAGCAACAGCAGCGGTGGCAGCAGCGGGAATGAGTGGAGAGGGAACTGCAGCAGGAGGAGGCAGCTCTGCCGCTCACATAAGAGAGCATCACAGCACTATTAACAAGGAAAGATGGGAAGAGCAAAGACGTCTCCTTTCTGCTGCCGAGTATGGAGCCCTGGCAGCTGGAGCAGTGGGAGCGGCAGGAGCCATGAATGAAGAATTTTTAAGAGACTACTTCAATGACGTAAGCATACGACCTGAAAATAACAGTATTTTGATATTTACGCTTAGCATTGTGAAATGCAGTTCGTGCTGTTGCAAACACAGATGAGTAGGTACGTGTATGTAAACAGTCCTAATACAGTGGCCAGTGTTGTGTGTGTGTGGAGTTGGGGGCATTAAGGATTTTTCGGGTTAGGCTCACATGTGGGACTTAGAGCATGACAGTGCTCAGTCTTGTAGCATTGGGTGCTTACAAGGTCTCCCACAATGGGACCCTTCTCTGGAGGGAGGTACCTGTGAGTGGGATCCAGAATATTCAGCAATGACCGAGGAGCCCCTTGCCCAGGAATAAACCATGAGAAAGGCTATGCGATATAAAGGGACTTAAGGGACTTAAGCACATTAAAGTGGCCTGTAGGGAGGTGCCTATAACTCATCATGAGTCACAGCTACAAACTTTATAATGGAAGCAGGTTTTTGAAAGATAAGCCATACATGTCAAACAGTAGAGGGTGGGTCTGCATTTTCAAAGTAGCTGAATAAGTAAATGGTGCTGGCCTTCTCTCTTTGGCCCATAGCCTGGGTAAAGGGCTGTTCATCAGAAGTGTATGAGGCACATGTTGCAAGCCCCTTTATGACTTTTGGGGTTTTTTTGGTGACCTAACTATTGACCAGTAGGCTGTTCCTACTTGCTGCAGCTGTTCCTCTTTGCATAATGCACATCATTAGTCCTTAGGCGGGTGAGCTGCTACTAGTGGAAGTTTTACTTCTGTATGCCTGGGAGTGTACAGATTGTCCATCACCTGTACAAATAAAACATCTTCACACCCAGAGCTGGCTGATGATGGGCTTCTGCAGGGAAGCAGCTGTGCAGCTTTGCATCACCATCTCAGGCCAGGGAAGGATTTGAGCTGAAGACACTTGTGTATCTCCTGAGTGCTCTAGCTACTGGTCTTCGGGGTGAACAGATAGAACAGTAGAAATTCTGCTTTCCTTCTACTCTTTGCACTTCCTAATATTAAGACATACTTTTAGCATAGCTGCCTGCTGAAGTCCTGCAGGCGGGCTTCATAAAGGTCATAGTAGAGTAACCTTTACAACTTTAGGAGGCTAAAATAGCTCAGATTACAGGAAAAGAAAAAAAAAAAAACAAAAAAACACACAAACCCAGACAAGTTACCAAACCAAATAGTTTCAGATGTGTGCTCATTTTTGTAAAAGCATCTCGGGTGATGTGCCTACTTCCAGGCTCAAACACAAACACACAGAGTCCGTGTGGGCCTGGATATATACCACATTACGCAGATGTCTGAGCTCATATGCACTCCAAAACTTCAGTTGTGGCATAAAAGTGGTTCTGAGCACAAGCCAGCAACCGTATTAGGTAAAGCTGGTTCAGC